AAAAAAAAAAAAAAGAAAGAAAAGAAAAGAAAAGTGAATAGTCTTAATGCTTGTTATCTTTCTGAACTGTTCTTCTTTTGCAGGCATTTATGTTTTCATCATGGTGGAAGAAGCAGCTTGGAAGCAGGTGAGTTGCAAATGCATGCTGCTCTTAAACTTGTTCAGCAATTCTTCCAGCAGCCTGCAGGGAGGAGACATTGTTTTACAGCCTGACAGGGAGAGTGCCCTAGCAACTAACAGAGTGGGAGCTGGCTGCTTAGCATTGCCTTCTGTTTGCTGTTTTAGAATGAAGCTGAAAATGTCATTATCTAAGGGTTTTTAGCTCAATAAAACATAGACAGATATCAAAGATGCTAGCAAAAAGGAATTTCTGCTGGGCGCTGATGGCTTATGTCTGTAATCCTAGCTACTCAGGAGGCTGAGATCTAAGGATCACTGTTTGAAGCCAGGCTGGGCAGAAAAGTCCATGAGACTCTTATCTCCAATTTAAAAAAGCCAAAAGTGGCACTATGGCTCAAGTGGTAAAGAGCTATCCCTTAGTGAAAGGAGCTCAGGGACAGTGCCCAGGCCCAGAGTTCAAGCCCCAGGATTGGCCAAAAAAGGGGGGGATTTCTTAATATGCAAATCTATTCCAATATTTTATTATTTTATTTTATTTTTGGTCAGTTGTAGGACTTGAACTCTGGGCCTGGGCGATGTCCCTCAGCTCTTCAGCTCAAGGCGAGCACTCTACCACTTGAGCCACAGTGCCACTTTCGGTTTTCTGGTGGTTAATTGGAGATAAAAGTCTCATGGACTTTCCTGCCTGGGCTGGCTTTGAACCATGATCCTCAGGTCTCTGCCTCCTGAGTAGCTAGGATTATAGGCATGAGCCACTGGTGCCCAGCTATTCCTATACCTTAAAATTCTCTTTTTGTCTTCTTCCTTTAGATTGAGACCTTCCAAAAACAGGATTAATACTTTGGCTTTAAAAACTTTATTCTGAAAAACTAATGAATATTAAAATTCATTATGTGTTGCATGTCTATGTGTGTACATGTCTGTGTGTGCCTGTATGTGTGCACATGAGTCATACTGGGGCTTGAGCTCTTGTTCAGCTTTTTCTCAGCTGATGTTCTACCACTTGAGCCACACTTTCAGCCTGGATTTATTTTTGGTCAGTTGTGGGGCTTGAACTCTGGGCCTGGGTGCTGTCCCTCAGCTCTTCAGCTCAAGGCGAGCGCTCTACCACTTGAGCTACAGCGCCACTTCCAGTTTTCTGGTGGTTTATTGGAGATAGGAGTCTCACGGTCTCTCCTGCCCAGGCTGGCTTTGATCCGCGATCATTAGCTCTCAGCTTCCTGAGTAGCTAGGATTACAGGGGTGAGCCACCAGCGCCCAGCCTCAGCCTGGATTTTTATTGACTAATTGGAGATAGGGGTCTCATATACCTTTCTACCTGGGATGTCTTTGAATCTCAATCCTCAGATCTTAGACTCTTGAATAGCTAGAATTACTGGTATAAGCCACAGGCACTCAGCTTAAAACTCACTCTTTTGGCCAGTTCTGCGAATGCTGACAAACACATACAGTAAAACAGCTCCATACCAGAAGACAAGATAGTCCACCACCTGAAATGTGGTCTGCTCCTCCTTCTCCCAATCCCAGTTAACTCTCAGTGCTATTGGTTATTTCATCTCATGAGTCATTCTCAGGACCTCTTTGTGCTGTGGGTTCCCACAACATTTACCTCTTCTAGGTCAGGGAGCTGAGCACCCTGGGTTTCCCACAGTCCCCTAATCACTTGTATGTGGATGGATCAATCACATGCAAATGTGGACAGACTTCAGTTATACCTGGTGAAGAAGCAGTTTCCACTACCACAGCTGAGGCCAGACTGGGCAATTATGAGCATTTGCCTGGTCTCAATTTTCTCTCAGGTCAAAATTTCCTGTTATATGAACAGTAAAATTTAAATGCAGGCCAGGCACCAGTGGCTCATTCCTGTAATCCTAGCTATTCAGAAGGCTGAGATCTGAGGATCATGGTTCAAAACCAGCCCGGGCAGGGAAGTCCATGAAACTCTTATTTACAATAAACCACCAGGAAACAGAAAGTGGTGCTGTAGCTCAAGTGGCAGAGTACTAGCCTTGAGCTGAAGAGCTGCGGGACAGCATCCAGGCCCAGAGTTCAAGCCCCATGACCACCCCGCCCCTAAAAAAATTAAATGCAGATTGAGATCAAATTTAAAATGCAGGTTGAGATAATTAATATGGCAGTAATGAAGTATATATAGGTTTATGTGTGCAAACTGATTCTTTTAATACTTTATATTTTGCAGAAGAAAAATGTACATCCCTGAGCTAGTCAAAACAATCACTGAAGCTGGGCACCGGTAGCTCATGCCTGTAATCCTAGCTACACAGGAGGCTGAGATCTGAGGATCATGGTTCAAAGCCAGCCTGGGCAGGAAAGTCCATGAGATTCTTATCCTCAATAAAACCACTAGAAAACTGGAAGTGGCACTGTGACTCAAGTGGTAGAGCACTCACCTTGAGCTGAAGAACGCAGGGTCAATGCCCAAGCCCAGAGTTCAAGCCCCACGACCGCCCCCCCCAAAAAAAAACAAAATCACTGAGACCTGTTCTCTTTTTATACTTTCTGCTTAAATACAGAAGCCAAAGTTTTTTAAAAAAGTATCATTCCTCCGTTAATAGAAGTCATTGTTACTTTTATTTCATTTTTAAATTTTTATTGTAGAAGTGATGTACAGAGGGCTTACAGTTAGTCAGGTACATTTCATTTTGAACAGTGTCACCTCTTCCTTCCTTTCCTCCTTGTTTTTTCCCTTCCCAACCATCAGCCCCCACCGGTTGCATAGTTAATTTTCAACAGTGTCTAGTGAGTATCACTGCTACTTTGCTCACCCTTTGTCCCACCTTTTCTGTGCTCCCTCTTATCTTCCTCCAAACAGATTAATTTGCATATAAGACAAAACATAATAAAAGAGAGGGGAAAAAAACACAACCAAAACAAAAAGTAAAATAACAAAAAAAAATCTTGTTTCCATTTCTTGGAGTTCATTTTGATAAACACCATTTTATATGCCTTTGTCATCCTCTCCTAAGAATATCTTCCTTTAATCTCACTGTGGAATGTTTAGAGTCCTGCTTATCATGTCTAGGTGTAATCTTTTTGTTTTTTACTATGCATTGTGTTTTGTGGATTTATAGGCACCTTCTAATTACTATAAATGAGGGAAATCCAAACTTGGAAAAAAATTATTAAGAGAAGCCAGACTCATTGTTACTTTAAAAAGTCTTTTAAGTAAAAATTAAAAAATAAAACAAAACCTTATTCAACACATCTATTTGGCTCCTGAGGATAGCACTTAGCACTTACTTTTTATCTGCTCCGCTTGCTAGCTGAGGCAGGGCTTCCAAGGCCTGTTTAAAACTAGATCTAGAATACAAAACATAGTGACATTCAGGCCTAGTGTTCCCAGCTTATTATAGGTAATGAGGATCACTAAAACAATTCTAAAATGTATTTTAAATAGAAACAATATAAGCCAGTATAGCAAATAGTAATCTGAGAAAAAGTAAAAGTGAAAAACAAAAAAAGTAAAAGTAAAAGTAAGGCTATGGTAAGGCAGACAACTTTTGAAAGTTAGGACCAGAAAGATTCAGACAGGAAGTGAAATGTGATCTGACTGAAAGGATGTTACTGGAAAAAGAGATGAGTTTGTGTAGATGTGTTTAATTCATTTTTTTCTTTTCAAAACATATTATAGATAAAACAACTAGCAGGAGAGGAAGGAAACTAAATAGGAATGGATATGTACTACACATAGGAATGTATATAGCTTACTGTATATAATATTATAGTATAAAATAGTAATTATAGTATAATAATCTCATGTTATATGGTATATTCTTACACATTAGGATGTTTAATGTTGACATAGATAGGGTCTCATTTACAGAAAGATTTTTGTAATAATTGAATATGGTCCTTTCGGGATTTAACTATTATATTTAAAACCTGTAGGATATGCAGTATCATTTCTCTATATAAAAGAGTCAAAAGGAATGAACTCAAAGACCAAGAGTTATTGTGGCTCAAGTGGTACAGTGCTAGCCCTTGAGTACAAAGAGGCTAGGGACAGTGTGCAGGCTGAGTTCAAACCCCACAACCAACCAAAAAAAGAAAAGACCACTTTTTAATGTGATTCGCCTTAGTAAGTAGTATATATCAGAAAAAATTATGGTACCAAATGAAAAGCACATTAGGGAAGGTTATTTGATAATAACTCATCCTGCTCACGAAACAGAAGTCTGAATTATTTTTGTTGTTGTTTTTGTTGTCTTAGGCCTTGAACTCAATGCCTAGCAACTGCCTCCGAGCTCTTTTGCTAAAGATTAGCGCTCAACCACTTTGAGCCACAGTACTACTTTCTAGTTTTCTGGTGGTTAATTAGAGATGAGTCTCATGGATTTTCCTGCCAAGGCTGGCTGGGATCCTCCTATCTCAGCCTCCTGGTAGCTAGTACAAATGTGACAACAAAGATATCTATACTTAAAACACCTTTATCAATCTACTAGGAAATGAAATTTTGAGCAACATTTTTCTATCTAGGGGTCGATGTCACAGTATCATGTAAAGAGAATGTAAAGTGCCAATAGTTATGAAAATGGGCACAGATATACTTTGCTTATCTCAGAGAGAGGCAGGTATAGAGTGGATGGGGACCAGGGTATGTTGAAACACTTGGTTGCCTTCAGTATAACATTAGCTCTCCTAAGTTTTAAAGTAGGAGAATATTGCCAATAACTCTAGCACTACCTTGTTTCTTATAAAGCTTTCCTTAATGAATCAGAAGAAATATGATCCTACACTATCCTTTATGTTCATTATAACAAAAATGGCAATGAAGATGAAGACCAAGATTCTAAACTTAAGGTTTTAGAGGGTGACAACATGTTTTGTTATTTAATCTCCTTAAAACTGCCTGGAAAGTACTGCAGTTAGTCCATCTCTAATGTGAAAGTCTGAAATTTTATATGCTTCAAAATCTGAAACTTTTTGAATATAATATGATGTCACAAGTGGAAAGTTCCACACCAAACAAAATTACGGTGTGGACTGAAACATGAATGAATTGTATATACAGACTTGGCTCCATCTCCAAAACATATCATTATGTATTACAAATATTCCAAAATTTAAAAAAAAACTGAAATCCAACAGACTTTTGGTCCTGAGCATTCCAGATAAAGGATACAGCCTGTATTACCTTCGTTTTATAGCTGAGGGACTCAGGCCAAAAGATTGAGCTCATGAAGGAAACAGGTATGTATACCAAGCAGCTGTGAACTGGGTGCTTCCTGTCTCCTGCATGTACTTTGTGCAGGAAAATGATAGCTTGAAAAGGTGTGACTAAATGAGAAACGTGGAAGCCATATGGAAATGGCTTCTTGTAACCATGAGAAATAGGAATGAGAAGCACAGTTCATTTATTAGGAAAAAATATTTTATAAGGTTTTTTTTTATAATAAGAACAATGACATAAACTATGTTATCAAATGCTAGAAATGAAGATGCGTACTGCAGGATGTCTTGTTTGTATACTACTTACTTCTCATGCACATTAACATTATAACCCAGTATTTTCTTGGAAATATTGTGAATGTGGTAAACAATTTTGTATAGGCAAATAGTAATTCTGTTTCACTTTACCTATGATAGGAAATCCTGACTTTCATTCAAAACAGTTAAAAATTATCAGCAAATTTCCACTACTAAATTCTACAGAGAAACCACAAGGTTTCCTTTCATGCTGATATTTACAACAATTGGACTGTCCTTCTAGTCTGCTATGAACAAACTATCACTCAATTCTTTTTCTCTCTTTTTTTTAAAAGGAAATATGTAATGCTGCCATATTACTTAGGAGACTAGATTAATAGTAAATAAAAACAATGTATATTAAACCTCATTTCTTTATGTTGTACTACAAAAAACTGACTTATAGAGTCCTTGGCTTATTGTAAGCTTGTGCCCTTTAGCTAAAAACAACTGCCCAGACTACCAACTTTACCACACACAAATTTATGAGCATTTGCTCTGATTACTTACCTTTATAATACACTAAAAAAAGCATCTTTATCTTTATAGAATACTTAGACCAAGAGTATATGGTACTTACTTGCTTTCAGTTGTCAGGTAAATGGCTACAGTGTCCCTCAGAGCACAGATTTCAAGTCTCGCCTAAAGATGAAAAAAGAGTAACAAAAGGAAAATATGTCAATTATCAAATATACACAAGGACTGAGTGGAACAGTCTCTAGCCTATAACTGTAGGTCAGGGTAGACATATACCATCTTGGTTGGAACAGACTTTCAAAAAAAGAGACCGATGATATCAGCTATGAAAAAAACCCTCTATTTATTTAAAATTAACTTGTAGTCAAGTAAGACTATATACAGCAGAAAGCTACAAATATTACTATGAGAAGGACAAATGGTATAATGCTTTTCCAACAATCTATCTAACTAGTAATTTGCCTTTTAATCTGGCTCTTAGAGGAAGGAAACTCTGAAGAACTGGCCCTGAGAGGCCTCTGTCCTACAGTGGAGGAGGTGTGTTCTCACAGCTATGCCCTTTCAAGTTAACACTGAGCTCTACAGATTCAATGTAAAACCCTATTAAGATAATAAAATTCATATGGAAATTAAGAAACACAGAAGAGCCACTTTCTGGGTTAAATGTTAATTACCAAGCTACAATGGTCATGTTAGTGCAGCACTAGCACATGGACAGATATATAGACCAAAGGTATAGAACTCAGAGTCCAGCTCTTAGAGTTATGATCAATTAATTTTCAAAAAGAGTGTCAGGAATATGCAATGGGGAAAGAAGAATCTTGTCAACAAATGATACTAGAACTAATGGATATTCCACACAGAAAAAAATGAACATGGAACCCTTTTCTTTAGTAAATGTCCATGACCTTGACAAGCCTTCAAAGATTTAATGCCAAACATACAAACATGGAAAATAAAAATAAACTGGACTTCATCAAAACTAAAAACTACTGGGATAAAATAGATACAATTAAAAAAGCAAAAAAAAACCTCACAGAATTAAGATATTATTTTGCAATCACTATGATGGTTACAATCAATAAGAAACTGAAACCTTATAAAACAGTATAGCCACTTTGAAAGACAGTCTAGCAATTGCTCAGATTAAATACAGTAATAACCATATGCACTAGCCATTCCTCATTGGGGTATACACTAAGAGTAATAAAAACATGTCCATCAAATGGGATTGCATGAAATTGTAGAGCTCCTGCATGACAAAGGACATAGCTAGCAAGATTAATAGAAAACCCACGGATTGGGAGAAGATCTTCACTAGCCTTACAACAGACAAGGGTCTCATATCTAAAATATACCTGGAACTCAAAAAATTAAATCACCACACAACAAATCTTCAAAGAAACAACTGCTCAATAAATAAGTGGGCTAAAGACTTAAACAGAAACTTCTTTGAAGAGGAAAGAAGGATGGCCAATAGACACATGAAGAAATGCTCAAACCTCTCTAGCCATAAAAGAAATGCAAATCAAAACAACATTGAGGTAACACCTCACCCCAGTTAGAATGGCAAAAATCAAGAACTCTAATAACAACAGATGCTGGAGGGGATGTGGCCAGAAGGGAACCCTACTGCATTGTTGGTGGGAGTGTAAACTTGTTCAACTTGTTTCACTTTGGAAAGCAGTATGGAGGTTCCTCAAAAGACTCCACATAGAGCTCCCCTATGACCCAGCAATCCCACTTTTGGGCATTTACCCAGATGCTCACAAACAAGGCCACACTAAAGCTACCAGCATAACTATGTTTATTGCAGCATTATTCACCATAGCTAAGATATGGAACCAACCCAGATGCCCCTCAGTAGATAGAATGGATCAAAAAAATGTGTTATATATACACAATGGAATTCTATGCCTCCATCAGAAAGAATGACATTGACCCATTTGTTAGGAAATGGAAAGACTTGGAAAAAATTATATTAAGTGAAATAAGCCAGGCCCAAAGAAACTTAGGTCCCATGGTTTCCCTTATTTGTAATTACTAGTATATGTCTGAGTCAAGCAGAAAAGGTCAGATAAGTTGATGTTAGGGAAATGAACCCTAAGATATGAATTCAAATGTTTTTTTTTTCTTTCAGGTGATTGTTTCTAACACATTTATAAGATTATTTCTTTGTTGCTTTGTATGTCCCTCCCCCATGGTATAATCCCTGCTTTCACTGTATTTGAGGTTGGTATAATTTGTGGAGGGGAAGGGAAAAAACAAATTGTTTAAATAATGGATCCATTGCAACAATAAGATGTACAAGTCGTTATGTGGAAAAATGAACTTTACAACTTTGGTGGGGGAAGGAGAAAGATTGAGTGAGGGGGCGGGAGGAGGATGGGAAGGGATGGGAAGGGGAAACAAAGGAGGAGGCTACAATGCTTGATAAGAAATGTACTCATTATCTTGCCCATGTAGTTGTAACCCCTCTGTACAGTATTTTCACAAAAAAATGTCCATATAAAAATTTGTATAGGAATGCTCAGAAAGGCATTTTTTATATCAGCCATAAAAGTGGAAAAAATTCAAATGTCCATTATCTGTTATACAGATGGTGTATATTATTTATATTATATATAATATACATACATACACATATACATATATGCATATATTTATGCAAAAGAATATTATTTATATAAAAATACAGTACAATAGACCCTTGGTATCCATGGGTATATGGCTGCAAGGAAACCAACACTGAAGAAAAACGGCAAATGTTCAGGATGCTCAGAATTCAGTACTGAATGAATGTTTTATGCTTTTCCCAATAATGTCACCCAACTTCTACTAAAAACGATTTCTTTCAACAAATCCTAAAATTTTATCATTTAGGCTAAACAACCTTTATATTGCTTTTGGAGTACAATTTACTTTTCAGGAGGCAGATTTTCTCAAAACTCAGGATTTGTAACATTTAGAATATCAGACAACAATTTAAGTACAAAATATGACCAGATAAGATGAAATTAAGCGAAATGAACCCCAAGAAAGGGACACAAGTGGTTTTTTCTTTCTGGCTATTGTTTCTAACCTATTTATAAGGTACCATTGTGATTTTTTTGTTGTTGCTTTGTATGTTTCTCCCCCATGGTATAACCCCTGTTTTCACTGTATTTGATGTCGGTATAATTTGGAGAGGGGAGGGGAAAAAACAAAATGTTCAAGTAGGGATACAGGTTTACCCATTGTAACAATGAGATGTACAAGATCCTATGTTGAAAAACAAACTTTACAGTTTGGGGCCGGGGGGAGTGTACTTGTGGAAGTGGGAGGGAAGGGATGGTAGGGGAAAAACAGAGGAGAAGGCAACAATGATTGATAGGAAATGTACTCATTACCTTGCTCATGTAAGTGTAACCCCTCTGTACAGTATTTTCACAATAAAAAACATTAAAAAAAGATAACATGGGATTAATGCAAGGGACGCACAGGAATTAAAATTGTTTGGTTTTGAAATTTCTTTGGATTTTTAAAAATGCTTCTTTCTGACCATGCTTGGTTGAAACCACATGTAATAAATCTGTGACTAAGACATGGTTGTGGTACTAGTACATGGCATAACATAGTGGCATATGGAAGCACCATAACAAGAAAAAGAGGCCAGTCAGAAAAGACCATATTGGCACGGTTCCATTTGTATTAAAATTTCAGAATACATAAGAGAATAGACAGCCGCCAGCTAGCGGTTGTCATAGTGGGGAAGTGTGTTGAAAGAAGATGATTGGTATGAATGCTAATGGGGTTGGAGTTCTTTAGGTCGATGAAGTGTTGTTTCTAAAGACTGATTATGATAATGACTGAGCATCTTTGTGGATATACTAAACATCCTTGAATTTTGTACTTTGTATATTGCAGTAAAAAGTTTAATGTATATGTCATATATCTGCTGAAAAAAATAAAGAGCTAATCCAAAGCCTTCATTTCCATGTGAATTGAAGATATATGACCTAGCTAGGCACTGGTGGTTCATGCCTGTAATCTCAGCTACTCATGAGGCTGACATCTGAGGATCATGGTTTGAAGCCAGCCCAGGTAGGAAAATCCATGAAATTCTTATCTCTAATTAACCACCACAAAGCTGGAAGTGAAGGCATGGTTCAAATGACAGCACCAGCCTTGAATGAAAAAGCTAAGGGAGAGTGCCCAGGCCTTGAGTTTAAGCCCTAGTGATGGCACCAAACAAATAAATGAACAAATTTAAAAAAATATAACCTGATATCCAGAAGAACCACAGATGGATAAGATCTGCATCCATTTACTGTATTCTCTGACACAAGTACCCATGGTGAGAGTAATGGACTATAGAATATACTTATATAAACTGCCCTATTCTTAGGAGCATATTAACATAAAACACTGACCAAAAGGCACAAGTAGTTCTTTACATGTCAGTTAATTAGAAATTCTGTAAGCTACCTAGATAAAGTTGATTTGTATCAGTTTATTCAGTGACTTTCAGTTTGGAAAGCAGTTGTTTGGCTTCATTTTCAGTGCACTTTAGAAATGTAAAATTATTTGTAATTAGAAAGTTTAATGTATGACAATTTCAGTTTCTATTGCTTTATGTTCTTGTAAATGTAAAAACAGACATAATAGGAGAATACCAAAGAGAAAAATAAGGTGGAAGTTTAGTTGAATATTTTAGAAGGCAGATTAAATAGCTACAAAATTAATCTTCAGATGAATTGATTTTATTCAATCAGTGTTAAGGTATTTCAAGTAAACTATGAATTTTGCCAATTATAAAATCTTAGTTTACTTATAAACTGTAAGTCAGAAAATGCCAAACTAAAAGATTGCTAAATGTACTGGCCTTCCTCATTCAATGTGCTCTCAGAAGGTTCCAGAGATTGGCACTTTGGAAAATGACAAATATGAACCTGCTGACACTTTCAGATACCTGTGTCAGAGAAGGTTCTAATAGTCATTCTCAACAGGAACACGTAAAAGTAGGAGTTCAGCTCAAACAAACATTTTCAAAACAGTTCCTAAGCAGGATCGAAATATTGCAGACTTCAGTTTAGGCTGTTAGTCTTAACAAGCACTCTTGATAGTGTACATCAAGTAAACTCCACTTTAGTCTGTATCTCTTCCCTATGTCTGCCTGCTAGATCTGAGGGGTTTAGCCTACAGGTAAATGAGTTACAGAGGTAATATATGAAGAGTGTGAACCACCAAGGTTGATAGAGCATTCTTTTTTTTCATTTAGCTTCATTATTACACTATGTATACTATTGATCTTCAGTGATGAGACCATTATAATAATCAACCTTTCAACTTAATATATAAATCAAAGTGTTGATGAAAGTTAAAAAAATTTGGTGGCAAATGGAAATGCAGCATAAATTTTTGTAATAGATTTCTCTAAATAACAAGTGTTCCCCATTCCTTTTCTCTTCCAACATTTTACTATGAAAAATTTCCAACATATTGACTTTGAAAAATTTTACAGTAACTGCTCACAGGCTCTGTCATTAATATTTACTTGAATGTGTCACGTAACTATCACCATTCAGTCACACACAGTTTTGATATTACAACATTTCTGCATAAATATTACTAATTAGATTAACTATACATGCCAGTTGTGCTTTTCTTTTGGCAGTAGTGACTTCACCCTTGCTAGGCAAGGGTTCTTATTACTTGAGCCATGGCCCCAGCACTTTTGCTTTTGTTTGTTTTCATATGGGTATCTCACTTTGTTTGCATAGGATAGCCTCTAACCATGATTCTTTTACCTTTATCTCTTATGTAGCTAGGAGGTTTGCCTTGTTTTTGAAAAAGGTCTTGCTTGTCCCTGGTCTAACCTCAAATCACAAACCTCTTATCTTTGTCTCCCAAGCAGCTAGGATTACAGGTGAGTGCCACTGTGGTTGGCATTAGTTATTTCTTTTTATTTAGAGTTTATATTTCACACAACTGCCACAATCTCAAGGTCTGCTAGGAGTGCTTTAGCCAGTGTACATACCTATGTGGTGGAAAGCCATATCAAGGTATACAACCTCCTTCACATACTTTCAAATTAAAACTAGGCACCCAAAAGAAACCACTATTATGTGTTTTCTACTAGAGTAGTTGTTTATACTAGAACTTGCATGTATGAACCTACACAACACACATATATTTTGTGAAAAGCTTTTAATGTATAAACTTCCCAAGATGCATCTACATTTTCAGTAGTTTGTCCTTTTATTAATAGCGAAAAACATTTGCTTAGGTGATTATATGGCAGTTTATTTTATTTATGGACAATTGGAGGGTTTTCAGGTTGGATTATTATGAATAAGATTGCCCTGTATTCTTTTTTTTTTTAATTGTGAAAATACCCTACAGAGGAGTTACAATTACATGGGCATGCCCTGTATTCTTGTAAGTGGTTTTCCTTCCTTCTTTCTCTCCTCCTACCCACCTCCCTCCCTTCCCTTCCCTCCCTCCCTCCATTCTCCCTCCCTTCCCTTCCTTCCTTCCTTTGAGGGTACATTTTCAGTTCTAGCCATCATGAAGATTCAAATAGCTGGGTCACAGAGTATGTGTATGTTTAGTTCTAAAAGAAACAAAAGCATTTCCACCAAATTGAACTATTTTACTTCCCCAATTGCATGTGAGTTCCATTTCTTCTATGTTCTTGACAATTTGGTATTGTCAATCTTTAAGTTTCTTTATCTTGATGTCCAAATGACATCTTATTTCCATGTTAATTTTCATTTTCCTGACCTTCTTTTCCTATGCTGATTGGCCAACTTCATTGCTTTCAAAACCTACTTACATGCATGCTAGATGTGCTGACATTGAGGAATTCCTGGAGTTGTTTATTTTTCCCAATTACTATTTTCTCTATTCTATTGGATAATCTCCATTGGTTTACAAGGTAAGTGACTTTTTCCTGTATCCTTTATATACTGCTGTACTCATCTACTAGATTAAAAAAGTTATATATTGTATTTTCCACTCAGGTTGTTTTTCAAATGATTTCTATTTCATGGCTGAGAATTTAATTTTTGATTCATTATAAGTATATCTCCTTTCCATCACTGGTCATAACTCCAGGTTTGCTATATCCAAACACTGGGTCATCTTGAGGTTGGGCTCAGTTGACTATCTTTATTATATGGGCAGTGTTTTCCTGTTTTATTTGTCTATTTTCATAAAATTTCAGTTACTTTTAAATTTATATCCTGGACTCTGTGAATATGTTTGGAGATTCTAGACTGTTATATGCCCCTATAGAATGCTGATCTTTTGCTTTGCTTGTTTTAGCATGTAATTACATTATTTGGATCCATACTGAACAATAGTTCTGGCTCTAAGATAGCAGTGCCATGCTTACTTCTGTTCCTGTAGCCTTAGCGAGTCTAGAGACATGTCTTATGAGCCAGCCAAAGAGTTGAGGTAGTGAGTATGTATCAGATCTTATGGTGCCCACTTTCTACTCTCTGGATATTTCTTTCACTTTTCTGTAGTTGAACTGCCCAGAGCCTATGGTTTAAACCAGAAAGATAGTAAGCTCTGTATTCTGGTACAGGTGCTATTTCCTCTAGAACTTGTTCACTCACTGACTCACTCTCTGGGTCTCCAGATAGTGTTTTTGTTTTGTTTTGAATTTTAATAAAAATGTTATTCAAGGCTGCAGGTGTTATCTGTGGAAGGTAGGTAGCCAGAGTCCCAGGCATTTCTCTCTACCATTGTGGTAAAGCTCCAACCCCATTATTTTAAAAACACAACCCCAATGTTCTTTGTATACAAATAGCTCACAGGCAGGAAATCACTCTTTTATTTTCCTGCACACCTATATTCTTACCAGTTTACTTTACATGTGTACTAAGAATCAACTAGTCTAAAAAAGTTTTATTATAAAATTTAAATAACTAGGATATAGGCTAATGGAACATGAATACAATGAGACAGCTACTGGTAGTTTAAATGTACATTATATTCAATGCTTTGGTGAGAATTACTAAAGTCATTACAAATTTCCTATGTGTGGGGGGAACTGGGAAATTTTATGTGAAATTGAATATAGTAAAGTACAACATGTTTTTTAAAAAATCACAATGTTATTGAAAGAATCTGCATTTAGATAACGTTTATAAGACCATGGTTTTACTCTACTTCTAAGTCTGGAATAGAAACTTTAGAACACTGTGGTTATGGTTCATGCAAGAAAGATGATACATGTCTGCCCTAAAATCAAAAACCAGTCTGTACATTGTAAAATGATAAATGTATATTTTAAATAAAAATAAAAATTTAACACAGATTTGAATAATTTTGCTACCTGTAATGCTCCATTTTTGCTGAAGGATGAGACACACTGCATCAGTCTACTCAGCTCTTCAGAAACTGCTTCTACCACCTTAGACAGGACTCGTGGCACCAATTCTTTGGAAATAGTGAATACCTGATATAAGGTTTAAAGTAAAAAGAAACACTGCATTATGGGGATTTTTTATCATACTTAAATTTAATAAATTTACTAAAAAGAAGTAGCATATAAAACTTATATGTAGATTTTCTAAGTCATATTTTTTAAAGGCCAAAGTTATGAATGAAAAATAGACATAAATTTCAATTATATTAACTGATCAGTGAAGTTTTATTTACGTTTTTTTAATTGTGAAAATACTATACAGAGGGGTTACAATTACATGGGCAAGATAATGAGTACATTTTTTATCAAGCATTGTAGCATCCTCCTTTGTTTCCCCTTCCCATCCTCCCCCTACAATCCTCCCCGCCCCCTCCTTCCCCCCCAACCCTCCACCTCCCCACCCCCCCTGCACCAAAGTTGTAAAGTTCATTTTCGACCTAACAACTTGTACATCTCATTGTTGCAATGTGTCCACCTGTATCCCTTTTTAAATGATTAGTGACAAGTTTTTTTTTAAATACATTATTAAAAATAAAAATTTGAAAGGTATTGTTGATGTTGACCAACTGAAAATTGTTTTGAAGATTTCCTTTTATTGGCCTCTCAAAGGAAATAAATATAGTTTCTAAAGAAGAGATTAGAAAAATATACTACAGATAGTTATTTTGCCACAATTAAGAAAAATAACAAGCTGCTGAGGCTGAGGTGGTACATACTGGTCATCCCAGCTACTTAAGAAGATGAAATCAGGGGATTAGCTGAGCCCAAGAGCTGGAGGCCAGGCTGACCAACAAAGTGAGACTTTGTCTCTTAAAAACAAAACAAAAAAACTTGTGTCAGACTGTCCTTAGAATATGGCAAAGCCCTTCACACTGAGTTGCAACTCTGTACTGGAAAAGGTCTCTAGTTTTATGCTATACTAAATACATTGTTTTCTTTTATTTGCTCAACATAGAACATTATTTTCAAACTTTAACATTCATCACTTTTAAACTGAGAGATACTATACTTGGGCTTACCAAAACATTTTACTCTCCTGATTTATAACCTAAAGTAAATGATGTTTTATTTCTAGCTTTTGCTTTTTTTCTTTTGATTGAGTCACTAGTATTAATTAAATCATCACCAACCCAAACATAACTGAATTGTTCAAAAAAAATTCTGACAATTTAAGAACATGTGACAAACATTAGGAGTACAATGATACTTTTAGTCATTGATCTAAACTGAAAGAGGACTTGAAAACCAGCTATTTATAATCTCTGGTTACTGACAATGGCCATCAGCTAATCTGTCTTAACACAAATCAACAAGGTCACTGATCATATGCAATTGGAATGTTCCAGCACTGATTATGTCAAGTATACTCAGATTTTAACAATACTACCATTTTTATATTCCTGATAAAAGCCACAATTAAATACTATTCCTAATTATAAAGAGGTCTGTAGGAGTTAAATGTCATAAAAACCATTTTTATAGAGAAATTTGTTTCCTTTTTTACTAAGAAATGAAAATTATAGCATACTAAATAAAGTGTGCTCAAATTACTTCAAACTTAGGAAATAGGTGGCAATTTCTTTATTATCTTTACTGTTCTTTAGCTTTTCAACTTCACCACAATAGCCTCAGTGTCCATGGATGGAGAAGCAGGATAAGCCTAGAGGAACCTATCTGGAACATAAGCTGAGAGGTACTTAGGCAAAAGTAGTAATCACTTAAGGGTAACAGCTTCACTCTGCCCTATTTTATCAGATTTCCCATCAATCTGTGGGTTAAATGTTGGCAAAGCAATGAGTAATGGACTAAGAAATCACTGGGTGAAAATGGGTCATCGTTGTGGTGAGAGTGGTTGGTAGCTGTGGTACCCTTTGTGGCAGCTTAATGTTCCCAAAAAGGGTCATCTTCCCAGGATGTTTAGAAAAGATGTTAATATGAAACTTCAGGTGATAATGCTTCAGGGAGAACATGTTTATGCACAAAACAATAAGTTCCTAAGCCAACACTATTGATAAGAAATTACACATCTACTTCTTTTTGACTTCAGCTGCCCTGAAAGCCTGTCTTTCCAGCAAGTTTCTAACTTTTCTGGAATCCCCACAATATATGCAACAGGAAAGACACACCAAAGCTTATTTGTAGTCTGGCTAAAAAAGGATAATAAAAATTTCCATCTTTAGAGGTAAAACCTCCTTCATTCTATTTTTTGGTACCTTTCAAATATTACTGAATTATCATGAAAACTTGTACATAGTGTCTAGTGAGTACCACTTCTGCATTTGTTCATACTTTGTCCCACCATTTCTGTGTTCATACCCTCAGTCACCCTTCCCAGAGACAGATAAATGAACAAACAAGACAAAAAAGAAAATAAAGTTTTGAAAATGAACTATACAACAGTGGGTGTGGATAGGAGGGAAAAGCTGGGAGAGGAAAGGAGTGACATGTCAGTTCATCCCTTATCTGACTATGTAACTGAAACTCATCTGATTGATCACCTTTATAATATAATAATTAAAATACAAGGAGAAGAAAAGAAAAAAACCTGTGCAATTCTGAAGCAGGGGATAGTAATTGAGTTTGCCTTTTTTTCCTCGCGTTTTCCTTTTTAGTTATCCTCCTTTCTTAGGAACAGTTAATAACAGCTTACCTCTGCATGCACAGCAATTATATTCACTAATGCTTCTTTTAAGTAATTTCTGACACCTGAAATGGAGATGAGGAAGAAACAGGTATTTAGTGAGAGCAGAGCTAGCCTCTTTCCTGCTAGCATCAGCATAGGCTGTGATGTGCCTCGAGATCCTGAGTGGGGAGAAACAGAAAGCAGCAGCAGCACTACCACCACTATCCGTTTCCTTCTGAGAATCAAATGGTTGACAGGACTGTTTTCATACAGATAAAACAAAGGTTAAATTGGGAATTTCCTTAAATGCTGATTATAAGCTATTAGTCAACTTACTTCAAAAATAAAATTCAAAAATGCCTTTCTATTTCTTCATGAATATATATCAATAGCAGACAAACTCAATGAACAGAAGGATGATTTTTAACAAAACTTCGTAAAATGTACATTAGGTATCATAGCCTATTACTTCCAAAGGTAAAAGAACAACAATTCTGAACTGAAGGTATCACTTTGAGGAAAAACCTCTCAGAAACAAACACTGATCTGATTCTGTAAAGCAAGTTAAACACGGTATAAATGATTTTCGATTATAGCTCTAGAAACAATGAGCATGCCTTCACTCAATAGCACCCAGAAGATGTATGAGTGCTGAGGTTAAGGCCACACTTTACAAGCAAACCTCAGTTTCAACACCAACTAGCTGTGGATTTTGGAGAGAAGGCCTGAGTCTTGGTCTACTCCTCTGTCAAATGGTAATAAAAATCTTTACACTACAGAGGATGAAAGGAGCAATGCTTGTCTTCTCTGACCTCTGAATGTTCCATTAGAGTTTCATCACCAATATCTTGCATATAAAATAAGAAAATGCTATTTTTGCAAAACCACATATACTTGCATAAATACGTTATTAAGCATAGACTTACAACATTGACCCTCCTTTTGCTTAATTAGCAAAGTTGAGAAAGACCATAAAATATAATCAAGTTTTTGGATGGGCACCTTCAGATTCTAAATATACAACTGGCTTTGGATTCTGTCACATATGATAATATATAAGAAAGTATACTGTTTTGTCTGAGGGGCTAATTATGTATATATGTACGTTTTTAGACATGAATAACAATGTTGATGGGATACTTGAAAATTCTGAGTGAAGAATTATAAATATAATACAGATATGAACTGCTCCTTTCTGAGAAAAGGGAAATTGCAACAGAGTAAGTATTATATGGGAGGACAGAAGAACATCAGAGCCTATATAATATGCTGATAAATGAAAGTAAAACTAATTTAGAGACTGGAGCAGCTTTCTTCCCGTTAGAGGAGAGTAACACTGACTGGCTTCCTGCTGTTGTACAGCTCATAGATGTACCCTCTGGCCTGAGTCTGATCACTGTCTCAGATCTAGGGTCTTTTAACTGCAATTCTATGGAAGGTCTGTTCATGTACATTCATCTACATTCACTAAAACATAGGCATAATATTAAGCCCATGATGAGTATAAGAAACTAAAAGAAGAAAATGCAGGGCTCAGAATGTGGCTTAGTGGTAGAGTGCTTGCCTAACATGCATGAAGCCTTGGGTTTGATTCCTCAGTACCACATGAATAGAAAAAAAAAAGGCAGAAGTGGTGCTGTGGCTCAAGTGTTAGAGTGTTAGCCTTGAGCAAAAGAAGCTCAGGGACAGTGTCGAGGTCCTGAGTTCAAACCCCAGGTCTGGCCAAAAAAAAAAAATGCAATAGCCTTTGTCCTAAGGAAATTAGGATCCCATCAATTGCTACTATAAGAACAAAAGTAAGGGTCTACCTGTATCCCTATTTAAATGGTTTGTTTTTACCCTTCCCCTCTTGTATTTGATGTTGGTATAATTTGTGGAGGGGAAGGGAAAAAACAAACCATTTAAATAGGGATACAGGTGGACCCATGGCAACAATGAGATGTACAAGTCCTTATGTTGAAAAAACGAACTTTACAACTTTGGCTGGGCTGTGGGGGGAGAGGGGTTGATCGGACAGGATGGGAAGGGTTGGGAAGGGGAAACAAAGGAGGAAGCAACAATGCTTGATAAGAAATGTACTCATTACCTTGTCCCTGTCATTGTAACCCCTCTGTACGGTATTTTCACAATAAAAAAAAATTTTTTTTAAGTACAAAAGTCAGGAGAGTTTGGATTCTCACAATGTTCTAGCAATGGTGAACAAAAATTTAAGGGTGGTTTTTAATTTTTAAAACTGTTCTATATAAATAAAGAATGGGGCCAGAGTACTGACTAAAAAGCTAAAAATGAGACTTAGAACTAAGCAAGAGGGTGGAGTGGGGAGTAGGGGGAGGGAAAGGAGAAAAATAAGGGAAAGGTAATAAGTTTGACAAGAAATGTACTTATTACTTACTAATGTAAGGTAACTGTAACCCCTCTGTACATCACCTTGACAAAGAAAAAGAATTAAGCAAGAAAATGTCATGCTCAGTGGCAGACTGCTATGAACTTAACTCCTTTCTGACTCTGATATTAAAAAAATCATTTCCTGTAAGAGCCATTAGACTAATTATTACTAATAAAACACACATTAAAAGAGATTCATTTAAATTAGCCAACATAGTAACAGCAAGAATACTTTTGACCAGAAGAACCATATTTCTGCAAAAAAAAAAAAACATTTTGTTTATAAAGGTATTTGTGTTGTATCAAGGAAAAAGCTACAAACTAGGGCAGCTTAGAAACTCTTCCCAAACTGACTGGGTTAGTAAGTAGCATATGCATTTGAGGCAAAGTATAACAAACATATTATACTAAAATTCCACCTTCCAGAGTACTTTGTGTGAAACTGCACAGAGTTGTGACAGATAGTTCATGATAGTTCATCACAATTATATTGTTATATTGGATACAGCATCTGGGTTATTTGCTACCATTGTATAGCTTATGTGCTTGTTCAGTATTAAGCAGTTTCTATTCAAAAGAACCTCACTTTAACATGATCAACAGTCTTACAGGTTGTAGCAGGCAAATGTAGACAGCATGAGTTTAAGACAGAGAAAATAATATGCCTTCTAGCCAAGTATTTATATCCCTGTCTATAAACTATAGTCCCTGACATATGTGTTCTGCTCCTTCCTGATAATTCAGTAGTATTTGAAAGGTACCAAGAAAATAGAATGGAAGGAAGTTTTTCCTCTGAAGATAGAAATTTCTGACAAAAATAGCTTCCTATTTTGGGCTGACCACCACAGGTTTCACATGGGTAATAATAAGAAGCAAGGAGACATGTACAAATTTTATTTCTTCGAGATTTCACCTCTATTAGGAAAAAACGAAAGGAAAGAATTGATTTTCAGAATTTCTCCCCACAAAACAAGTAATAATACCAGAAAAAAAGGAAGGGGAAAGCATTTGGTCCCCAGGACAGACAGACATAGCAATCCTACTATGTCAGGCAATGAAGATTCACAAAGGCTTTGTGACACTGATCTCTGCAAAAAGGTCCCTGGGCTTGAGGTAGAGCTTAGTAAAGCTGTTTTAACCTCCCAAAGCAATATGAGTCCTAGTTATAATTAAATAACTAGGTGGGACACACCTGTGTAACTCCACCATTTAAGAGGCTGAGGTAGGAGGAGCTCAAGTTCCAGGTTAACATGACCAGTATGGCAAGACATTCTCTCAAAGAATAAAAAAAAGGTAAAATGTAAAAATCAATCACTTGTTCCTTTCCAGAAGGTATCTATTGTGCTAAACAAAGCATTTTTATAAAACTGACTATTCAAGTTATGTTACTTTCCTTCTAAGGGAGTGACTAACAGTTCTCCTTCAGTCAGTTAATGTAAATTTACTAGATCCCACTACATTCTAGACACCATTAGATAGCTGCCAGAGGGATATTTTTTTGTGGGTCATGGGGCTTGAACTCAGGGCCTGGGTGTTGTCCCTGAGCTCTTTTGCTCAAGGATAGTGCTCTACCACTTTGAGCCACAGTGCCACTTCTGGTTTTCTGGTGGTTAATTGAAGATAAAAGTCTCATGGACTTTCCTGCCTGGACTGGCTTTGAACCATGATCCTCAGATTTCAGCCTCCTGAGTTGCTAGGATTACAAGTGTGAGCCACAGATGCCAGGCCAAAATGGTATTTTTCGATTTGGGGAATGGAAGAGGTGCAATGACTGGCTTTGGACACCGGTTCTCTCCCTGTATCCCTCGTATTGTATGTGGCTCACCTCCTCTTGGAGTGCTGGGTCCTCTCTCCCACTGTAATAGCTGCACATTTGTCTGTGTAATTAATTACCTGAGTAAACCCCCACTTCTTCTACTGGGCTGCAAAGTATAACCATAGGGATCCAAGCATCATCTTCCTTATATTTTTAAACCCAGAACCTATGACAATGGCCATAGTAACGAATGAAAAAGTAAAAGAAGGTAAATATGTCTGTCTTGCATACCACTAAGTTCTTAGAGCTAAACATTAAGTGCCTCTGTTAATGTGAAAAGAAAATGTTTTCTGAAAAAGCATCTGTTACTTCTCACCAACTGTAGGAAAGCAGAAGTTCCTCTGAGAGTATGTGTAAAGAGCCATTTGAAAAATACAATTTGAATAAAGTAAGTATAAGCAGAGTAGAATGTTGCTAAGGTTAAATCAGTTTTCCAAATTAACTTTATTTTTCTAGCTGTGTTTCTAAACTAACAGCTAATTGCAAACAGTAAACTAGTAAAGTGTTTGTTGAATGTTACATGCGAGATATTTAGAAAGATGAAGATATGTAACATAGTGGACATGTGTAAAACTAGGTTCTAGCTTGAACTTAAAAGCGTAGTAGAGTATAAAATGCCAAATACATGAAGTAGACACCATTAGGGAAGCAACTGTCAATGTGATGGCATGCACAGAAAAAAAAAAGGCAAACTAACTTGTTTCTTGGAAGTGTAAAAATGTGCCACATTATTATGCTATAGTAATAAGTATGGCTTTTAGAAAGGTTACCCACAGATTAAACCCCCACAAACTTTCCATGTTATTGAAGTGAGGGAATGGGAAACAGTGTCTAAGCATTTATAATATATGTAACTTCTCTATTGTCTGAATATGAAATTAG